AGAAAGGCTTACCGCGCCGAATGTTGCCACGGTTCCAACGACGCCAGACCATGAGGACGGGTCGCGAATTGATCCACCTCCATCGAATCCAATGGCAAATGGGAACTGAAACATTTGAGGCGTGGCTGTTGAGAAGTAGCCAGCGGATATGCGACCCTACAAGGCCTAATGCTACTCCTGTGGCGGGGCCACTGGAGCTTCCCCCAGTGTAGCGAGTAGGGTCATACGCATTCAGTGGTCCTTGTGCCCACACTAATAAATGACACGTTGGAGTAAGGAGACGCTGAAGTGGATCCTCTCACCGTTGAATCCGACGGGGCTGATACCATATTCATGCATCACACTTGTGCCGAAGAGTATAGCTCCAGCATCGATGAGAGCTTGGATAACAGGGTCATTTCTGGTCTAATGATCATGCAATAGGGTATCCTACATGCTAAGGATTTGCCTACCGCCAATTTCCCTATGCGGGGGTTCTTCTTGTCCTTTGGGTTCGTTCCGACGAGCTCCTGGAAGCCTGCAACCTAAAGCAAGAATTGTGGTAGACGAATCAATTAGGCTGCCACCAACATCTTACACTCATTTCGTCTTTCACGATGAAGGGGATACCGTCCAACTTGGACCATGATTTGCGTTGCGCGTAGCGTTGCGCACTCTTAGCAGCAGCACGCATTATTTTATCCTCATCTTGGAACTGTACCATGAAGTGAAAGGCTTCATTCAACGCTTTCGCTCGTTTAAGTACGGCCTACATGACAAAGACGGTGGACAGCAGTCAGGGAGGATCGTCTCGCTCACGCTCGCAACATCCGATGGACTTTTCTCATGATTCAAGTAATCACGACGAAGGTCCTCGATGGAGCGATAGGGCCTAGTGGGAGCCGCTGAGAGGTCTTCGCCCTGTTTGCAACTCATCAGACAGCAGTACTCTCGGGAGCACTTACTTGACTGGGTCTCTGGCTCGAAGACTCCATCTCTTTCTCTAAAATGGCATTCAACAATGACTATCAACAGCCTTGAAACATGCTGCTTACCGGGTCTATAAAACGGCCATTTCATCCTACCAGTTTTGAGACTGCCTGTAAATGTCTTGAGTTCGGACACCTGGAAAAAGCATACCCAAACTCCTTAGTAACGAAGAATGATCAGAAGCTGTTCGATGGAAACTTTCCACCCGGAAAGGCAAGGTCCACAAGTCGAGCAGCTCTACTCACTCCCATTTTATTGAGCATGTTCTTTGCAACCAATGAACGCGCCAGCTTATGAATAAAAGAGTTACCCGTCATCGCATAAGCAGCCATCTGAGGGAGGTACATCGATCGCCCCCTAGCCTATGGAGGTAACGGTCGACCCACTCTGAGTAATAACCCAGTCAGGGGCTTCACTTGCAATACTCTCAGATCATAGCCATCGTCGGATTTTACCATCGCGGACACGTTGAGTTGTGGCTCGAGAAACCCCTGAGGAAAACATACTCAACTCTAAAAACTGAGCCGCATTAATGTGACTGGATCTCCTCAAGACTTTGTCTCAATATCGTCGGCGATACTGTCACCCTAATAAGATCGCCCATGGACGACAATCGGGAAGTTGACTCATATCACACAGCAACACGTCAGCAGTAAGGTTTCCTTACTTCTGTCGAGGCAACTCCCAGAGGTATTGTCAATAGCAGCAGCGAGGTCACGAGGATACGCATGATGGCAACAGATCTAAGTGAGGATCCGACGATCCGCGAGATTCATACTCGGTAGTTCCATATCCCACGACGGTTAAGACAGTCTTAACAGTGGCGGCGGGGGGCGACAGCCCTCGTCAAGCTGACGGTGGCCCCCCCGAAATAGGCGAAATAGGCTAGGGCCTAGCCGCTACTAGCGGCTAGGCCTAGCGGCCCGCTAGGCATGGATGATGACATCGTATACACCAAGCCTATTTCGCGACTCACCGTGATGTTTATTATCAATGGACCATTGGCAATAGTGAGTAGTATCTGCGCTCCATGGACCATGAGTAACTCGCGTGCCAATCACCTCCCGTACACGTGCACACGCGTGACGCGTCACACGCTTGTAAACTCAGAGCCTTGGCCATTCTATTAAACCGCGAGGTCTATTCTAGAGAAACACGACCATGGTCTAATCGCAGGTGCAATTTACCTCTCACATGGAACCATTCCTCAAAAGAACTCGACCCACGGAGTCAGCATACCCAAGCGATATATCCACTAGTAAAGAAGATGGCCGACTCAAAGTCAGAGGAAAAAATTTTCCATCAAACAGCGGTGGTCGCTTCCGTCCTTACTTCAGTGATATCGAGGATGTGATACCCAATGAGGAAGTTTGCGAGGTTGATGATACGGTATCTAGAAGAGCTATAACGGACGAAACAAGAAGTCCATGTGCAGTGGAAAGTTGGGAGGAGCCGCAGGACGGGGATAAGGCGCGTGTGAGTCGGTATGTGGTTCGTCCGTTTTGAATGTACCTCAGCCTCATGCTGCATCCTTGTCGTCCGGCTCGACAAGCACGGCTGAACCTAGTCCTGTGCCTGCCCCATGCTACCCTCCTCCTGGTATCCATCACGACTCTCTTCAGTGGAATGCACCTGTTGGTGCCATGGTGGGAACGATTCCTGTCTTCCACCCGAATGGGCCCTTTCCTGAGGTGTGTGACAGAGTGCCACGTAGCAGTCGGGGGTTGATTGTTTGATGCAGTGCGTCGTGCAAGGAGGAGTCTGCTCAATACCCTGGCACCCCAAAGGCCCTCACGTTCACGTTATGCATGTCCTTTTCAACGCTCCAAATAGTGATACGGAGGGAATATTCGAGGGAGCTGATACGGATCTCGAAAAGGGCAGACCAATTACGGTAAGTGAGTTCGGCATTGCTCGTCTAGCATTCGCATGCTCTCTAGGAAGAGAACGCCAAAGAGATCTTGTGGGCTATCGAGGGTCGATGGTTTTGTAGTGATGAAGATCTGGGTCTGGCGTACGATATCAATCCGAAGAGGAAACGCGTCGCTAAGCTGTGGGTTGACGAAGAAGGAAATACACTATCGAGAATTTGGGAGAAAAAACTAGTCCTAGATCCATTCGACGTCTATTGGGGAGATTCTCGAAGTTATGTTCTGTCAAAACAACGTTTGTGGGAAAATGAACTGAACTGGGAGTCGACTCGTGGAGGCAAGGGATGGCGCTGGCAACGAGAAAGACCATCGCCGTGAGTGCACATCAAGCCGGTCATATGTCATCCGCTCGGACACTCGGTTACTTACTACCAACATTCATCGGTATAGCAATAGCAGTAGTCAAGATGTTACTTCACCATGCGTGATGGCCGCCGTAGTAGTGCATGTGCCGAGGCTTTGTGTGGCCTATTGTGAGTATGCTTCTTCATCAAGTAAGATGTTGGAAGGCTTTAGTCTCCTCTCAATTGGGTCGGCTCATTCTCTGTATTACTCTCAAGTGACCCTCTCTGCAATGGACCTTCTCTACTGTCATCATCATCAGACGGATTGGGGTATATTCCTCCTCCTATAGGACCAGGAATCTAGTGAGCTAAGCATGCGACTATTCATGAGCCAAGGAATTAGCCATCGACCCAAGCCAATCGCCGGCGGCGATTGGCCGCGAGGAACAGGGAAGACGGTAAAAATCTCTCACGTCCACGCAGGTGGAAAAACGCGATTTTGCTTCAATTTTACTCCTATGATACTCTAATCATTTCAACATCGTCTCTTCGATGTTGTATTACAGAACAAGCCAGGATACTTCGGCACGATGAGGGAGATGCTGTCGGTGCCCCAGGTCAGCGAGATATGGAAAAAGCCCTAATTGACGGAGGTGTTCCATTGGATGATTATCAGTAAGCCACAATCGTTGTTACAATCCTCGGAAATATTCGATTATTTAAATGAAATCTTATCGTTAAATATTTATTACGCGGGGATGGGTTAATTTGAGAGGTCTTGTAATGAGAATAAATTCTACTAAATTGACTTGCCGAGAACACGACTTCCTCCGGAACGAGGTTATAGTGTAAAGTTTATAGAGCAATTGTATCTCTACCATTAGCGAGCAAGGCACAATATATAGATCAAATGGTATCCACCAGTTCCTCTCCAACTTCACTATCCCGAGTTAAAAATCTACCATTGAAATACTTGACTAAGAAACGCATCATCACATATTATATCACTTACATTTACCTCGTTAATCCAAAAAAGAAAAATATTTGGGAAAATGAATAAATCGAGAAAAAGCAAGTACGGGAAAATCCAATGAATGGTCGAAAGTCTTAATTCAGGACATTTGAACAATTCTGTATATAGGACTATCCGGCCCACGTTTGGGCTCGCGCTATTTCTTATTCGTGGTAGTTTGAGCTTCCTCTAGAACGACCACCTCTGGACGCTTCCTCTGATGTGCGAAATGGTCTTCGATTTCCTTAGCGATGGCCAGGCATTGCCCGTCTTTGAACGGAGGGCAAATGACCTGCGATATGGGGGACTATACAAGTACTCCGATCAACGTCTCTTACCTGTATGCCGATGGGGAGTGGGTCTGTTTTGATTGTCACAGTGACCGACGGGAATCCCATAAGATTCGATGGCCAGATATACTTGGACATGATCGACACAAGAGTAAAGTTGAAGAGGCCTGGAGAAGCAGCTCACTTAGCGGCCTGCAACACAGCGTAACAGTCATCTCCATCCTACCATACTCTTTGACCCCGCTTTGAATGGTTTGGGCTGGGATCGCCATAGCCGGAGTGATTACTGCATCCATTTTCTCGAACTGCTTCATCCTGGGGAAGCAACAATCGAGGGCGGCTCACAATCATTGCGGGCCACTTCCCCACCATTGCTCAGATGCCCACTTCTTCATCTTCTCGGTTGCTTCGGTTATACTATCATCGAGTTCCCTCCCGAGGTCAAGGGACATCTGAATCCGAGTAACGACAGTCCCTAAGTTACGTGAGCATCCGTGGAAATAAATACCTTCGTGTTCGGCTCCAGAATATCAATAACATCGTTTTGATGGGCTTGCCAAAACTCCCGGCCAATGGTCAAAGCTGAAGTGAAGCACACGAGCTTCAAGATGAAGATGAGGTTTGCGCGAAGACCTACTGTGAGATATAGCCTGATCATTCCAATGGCTCATCTCGAAGTTTGGTTCGATTCTCCACCCTTGATGCGATTTAATATAATCGCGGACCTCGTAGAACATCTAAAAATAATAGCCTCTCTTGGGGCCAAGGACCTTGGCACTAGGGTTCGGTGATGCACTTACTGCTTTGACTTCGGGTGCACAGTCTTCCGACCAGGCAGTGTGATACCCGATGGTAAAGCGCGACTCCTGTGCGTACAGCGGACCGAAGTTGATCGACGGCATGCGAATGCCGAACATGTCCTTGTAGACTTTATCGTAAAAGTGGTGGCCTGGCATCGAAACATCATGTACGCCGACGTATTGGAAGAAGTAATTATCGACTCACCCTTATTCTTAGTGTTGGCCATGACGTCCAAGACGATGGCTGCATCAGCGACGTTTGTCGTAATTGGGCCGCAGTGAAGTGTCGTAAAAATTTCAGTTTCAGCATTCTCGTATCGGACCTAACAAAGGCGAAGGGTGTCTGAGGCCTCACATCAGACACATATAGGAAGCGAGCCGTTCAAGAAGCAACTGCGGGGACCACGACTTAGCCGAATTCGGTGCCCACCAGCAAACTTGAGTGATCCAACAGAAAGGCTTACCGCGCCGAATGTTGCCACGGTTCCAACGACGCCAGACCATGAGGACGGGTCGCGAATTGATCCACCTCCATCGAATCCAATGGCAAATGGGAACTGAAACATTTGAGGCGTGGCTGTTGAGAAGTAGCCAGCGGATATGCGACCCTACAAGGCCTAATGCCACTCCTGTGGCGGGGCCGCTGGAGCTTCCCCCAGTGTAGCGAGTAGGGTCATACGCATTCAGTGGTCCTTGTGCCCACACTAATGAATGACACGTTGGAGTATGGAGATGCTGAAGTGGATCCTCTCACCGTTGAATCCGACGGGGCTGATACCATATTCATGCATCACACTTGTGCCGAAGAGTATAGCTCCAGCATCGATGAGAGCTTGGATAACAGGGTCATTTCTGGTCTAATAATCTTACAATAGGATACCCTACATGCTAAGGATTTGCCTACCGCCAATTTCCCTATGCGGGGGTTCTTCTTGTCCTTTGGGTTCGTTCCGACGAGCTCCTGGAAGCCTGCAACCTAAAGCAAGAATTGTGGTAGACGAATCAATTAGGCTGCCACCAACATCTTACACTCATTTCGTCTTTCACGATGAAGGGGATACCGTCCAACTTGGACAGTGGTTTGCCTTGCGCGTAGCGTTGCGCACTCAAAGTAGCAGCACGAAATAGTGGCTCCTCATCTTGGAACTGTACCATGAAGTGAAAGTCTTCATTCAAGGCTTTTGCTCGTTTAAGTACGTCCTACTTGACAAAGACGGTGGACAGCAGTCAGGGAGGAATGTCTCGCTCACCTCCACAACATCCATTGGCCTTTCACGACGTTCCATGTAAGCACGATAAATGTCCTCGATGGAGCGGTAGGGCCTAGTGGGAGCCGCTGAGAGGTCTTCGCCCTGTTTGCAACTCATCAGATAGCAGTACTCTCGGGAGCACTCACTTGACTGGGTCTCTGGCTCGAAGACTCCTTCTCTTTCTCTAAAGTGGCATTCAACAATGGCTATCAACAGCCTTGAAACATGCTACTTACCGGGTCTATAAAACGGCCATTTCATCCTACCAGTTTTGAGACTGCCTGTGAAAGTCTTGAGTTCGGACGCCTGGGAAAAGCATACCCAAACTCCTTAGTAGCGGGAGATGATCAGAAGCTGTTCGATGGAAACTTTCCACCCGGAAAGGCGAGGTCCACAAGTCGAGCAGCTCTACTCACTCCCATATTATTGAGCATGTTCTTTGCAACCAATGAACGCACCAGCTTAGTAATAAAAGAGTTACCCGTCATCGCATAAGCAGCCATCTGAGGGAGATACATCGATCGCCCCCTAGGCTATCGAGGTAGTGGTCGACCCACTCTGAGTAATAACCCAGTCAGGGGCTTCACTTGCAATACTCTCAGATCATAGCCATCGTCGGATTTTACCATCGCGGACACGTTGAGTTGTGGCTCGAGAAACCCCTGAGGAAAACATACTCAACTCTAAAAACTGAGCCGCATTAATGTGACTGGATCTCCTCAAGACTTTGTCTCAATATCGTCGGCGATACTGTAACCCTAATAGGATCGCCCATGGACCACAATCGGAAAGTTGACTCATATCACACAGCAACACGTCAGCAGTAAAGTTTCCTTACTTCTGTCGAGGCAACTCCCAGAGGTATTGTCAATAGCAGCAGCGAGGTCACGAGGATACGCATGATGGTGGCAACAGATCTGAGTGAGGATCCGACGATCCGCGAGGTTCATACTCGGTAGCCCCATATCCCACGACGGTTAAGGGGTGCAGGGTTATTTCCAAGCGTGAAGGATGAGCTCACGATAGCAATGAGAAACCAGTGCGCGACATGTGTCGACGAACAAGAAGTATAACGAAATTCGTTAAACGAATCTAACGACTATCGTGACACGCCAATAGTGCTCACCGGCACTTGCACGCACAGGCGTAGTTAATCGCATCACGCAAGCACAAAAACACACCACGGCGTGGTGTGTTTTTGTGCTGACCACGCAGGTACAATGAAGGCATTGGTGAGGAGCTGCAGGAGCCGAGCAGAGTTGATTCCCACAGCAACCATTTGACTAATGCGAGCTACAAGCTACAGACCATCGACAAAATGATATACAGTTCATTCTACCACACAGACACTTTGCTCGCACGCGCCCACGTGACGTCACGTCACTGAAGTGTCTGCATCGCATCACCGTGATACCATCATGGAAAGGTGGCAACGATAGCCGATGTACCCGGTGTATATCTTCCTCCCTGCAACTGTACTCTAGAGCGGTATTGTTTTTGTCAAGATAGAACGCACGGTGCGGATCAAAGTGTTATGGTATCTTAGGATACTATATGATTCGAAAGAAGTACGCATTTTCCCCATTTCTCTCTTTGCTTCTCTCGTATCACGGGCTCCGCTACTGCTGAGTGAATACAGTATTTGCATCAGCTGAGGGTCAGGCCACGAAGACCTAGTTACAAGATCCAGTCAGAGATCGCAGTTTGCTATGGGAAACAGTACTGTTTGTGTGGTTCTATCACGGGAACAATGCAGGTTGGATAACTCAACTATCGAACATCTTAGACACGCCTTGCGCTTCTATCTGCCACGTCCTTTGCCCTCGTGTCAAGGACCCAAGAATGTTGAACTCCGCGGTGAAGTAACCTAATGGTCTCTAGCGAAACACTCAGCGAAACCTTGGGCCCGAACCCTCCAGGGGGCGAACGGAAGGAGACGCGACCGTTGAATCGACCACGAACGACGCGACAGCTACGGGAAAGACAAACACGGAAGTGGGATTCCCTCGGTGTCACCGAGTCGGTGAATTAAATTGCATAATCCGGCTTACTCAACCGAGTCGCTTACCATGCAAGACTTGCATAAAGTCGTGAGATAATGGACCTATATTGCAACTAGTCGTTACCCTCGTCGTTACTGCCAACTCGCTCTTCTTATTCGGAGCTTCTGATGCACTATGCGCTTCCGCGACGGTTCGGACTGTTGTCCATGCGATCCAAAACATGGGGAGCAGAGTGTCCAAGACCCGAAGTTCGGGTCCCGAACCCAAACCGGACTCAATTGACTTCGCATACCCCCTCTCACGAACCTTACGAGTGGCATAACCCCTGCCCTTAGCGATCCTAGACACGGGTATAGGATAATAGACAACACGCATGCACAGACCATGATTCGCACAAAGCAATATAACAGCCGTAACACAGTAGGACCGTAACGAAATGATATCATATTAACGGTATAGCATGATCACATGCTAGCAGGGCTCCGAACTCTGCGCTGAACCGCACAGCACACGACGAACGATCCGCCGATCGCAAGATCCACAATAGCGGAGGCCTTCACCGCGAACATGCGGTATGGTGATATATTGTAAGGGTGTAGAGATTCATTCCAATTACTGGAAGCTCTCCGCTTACGTTACTATAACGGACTGAGCTTCTCGGAGTTCTGAAAGCAACCCAATGGCTCCTCTCCACGTCAGATGCAACGGAAGCCTGGGAAACCTCCACAGGCTCTCAGGTGATACTCAGAATCTTGAAGTCGAGATCTACTACAGCCCGTCGGGACAGAGCGAGACAGATACAGACTACGCTACTCTTGACTGAAAT